GAAAATTTTTTCAAAGTTAAAATGAGCGCGTTGATTTAGTAATTCATAGACTACAGTCGTGATGCTGTTCAATCATCAATTAACGCGTGTGCATTATGATCGCTCTTTATATTAATTCATGAATGAGAGAGAGAGCGCGCACGCATAGCTCGTAGCCACGCGCTACATGGCTAACTTTTGGGAGAGGGGGAGAGTGTGACGCATTGCACTGCTCCACGGCTAAGACCATATTACGTTCACACGTGTAAGTTCTCATATGACCGAAAACTTATGTTTTTCAGCGTGCGACATAGCTAATAGAGCTATGTCACTTCGCAGGCGCACGATTTTAAGTTTTTTTTGTTTTGTATGCTGTAGAGACTAAGTGTCGATAGCAGAGAGAGAAATGAAACTTAGCCGCGTGCGCATTGGAAAGAAAGGAAAGAAATTGGTATAAGTCATCTAGCGTCAGCTCGTTTAAAGGGACTTAACTATATTCGCTCGGAGCTAGAGTTCTTGCAGCATATAAAAAGAACTTAGCCGCATTCATTTTAAAGGGACTTAACTATATTTAAACTATATTCGCTCGGAGCTAGAGTTCTTGTAGCATATAAAAAGAACTTAGCAGCATTTATAAAGACTCTTGATTGGACATAGACGTGTGAGCGAATTTTGATTTTCAAAACGTAACACTCACACTCTAAGTTTTTTTCTGTTTTGTATGCTGTAGAGACTAAGTGTCGATAGCAGAGAGAGAGAGAGAAATGAAACTTAGCCGCGTGCGCATTGGAAAGAAAGGTTTTAGTATAAGTCATCTAGCGTCAGCTCGTTTAAAGGGACTTAACTATATTCGCTCGGAGCTAGAGTTCTTGCAGCATATAAAAAGAACTTAGCCGTATTCATTTTAAAGGGACTTAACTATATTCGCTCGTAGCTAGAGTTCTTGTAGCATATAAAAAGAACTTAGCCGTATTCATAAAGACTCTTGAATGGACATAGACGTATGAGCGAATTTTGATTATCGCGCTATTACTAACATATGAAAAAGTGGGAAGGGTTAAATGTATAAAATGCGTGTCAAAATCGATGCTACATCATATTCAGTCGAGCACTCATCGGTTCGAGCGATCATGGCACGTTGCAATCCTTTAACACGGTATTGGAAAAATCAATGAACTAACATATTATTTAAACTATATTTCTGTCTAATATATTTTTTTTCATTATAGATTTAGCATGGAAATTATCGTTGATATACAAGCTTTTAAGAACGATGATCAACCAGTTTTTAAAGAACTTGCAATGATAAATCTCAATGACGATATAGAACCCGCTCATTGAATTTTCAAGCCACCATGTCCTTGGGAAGAACTTCCCAGTCATTCAAAACGTGAAAATTCATGGCTTACAAATAACTATCATGGGCTTGATTGGAATACAGGAAACTTACCATACGATTACCATCCGCTTATTATACAAGACCTATGTCGCTTAGCATCTGACACTGACAAAGTTCTTATTTATGTAAAGGGACGTCAAAAAGTGGAGTGGCTCACTAGATTTATTGATCATGTCTTCGATCTCGAAGATCTGGGTTGCCCTTCCTTACATCAACCAGGATTTTGCGAACCTATAGTTTGCAATTATCATCCTCCAGGCTGGACAGAAAACTGCGCGCTTCAAAATGTCGTGGCTCTTAAAAATTGGTTGAAAAATCGTTATAGTCGACAATTAAGTCAGACTTGCGACTTCCCTGACAGCGATTCTTCAACGTCAGAGTCGAATAATGATAATGATGATTATGATTATGATTACGATGTGATCAGCAAACTAAAAATGTTAGATTTAGAGGATGAGGAAGATGAAGTAGAGGTGGGGGATTGGTACAAAGCCTTCAATTAAAATGATCGGTTTAACCCTATATATACAGTAGCATAAAGGTACGGATTCATTCGCTCGTCTGCGCTCACAGTAGATACTTCATATAGCTTGAATACTCTTTTTAATCAAAAATTGTATGTCAACTGTTACTCATAGAATTTTTTCATTTTTTATATTTGAAATTTTACATGTCGTTGGTATCAATCTTCATTATGGAAGCTATTAACGCTGTAGCTCGTACCCCATCCTACTTGCCAACGAAAAAATTAAAAGAATTGAATCCTTCAATCCTTTACACAGTCACTGGCATGAAAAAAGTTCAAACAAAATTCGGAGCAAGAGTCGTCGTCGAACTGGATGCTGAGTTTGACATTTTCCTTCCCAGCAAACTAAGCGAACATTTCATTATGAACCCGGAATCGTACAATACTCTGCTCGGTCAACTTGAAAAAAGAATTGTTAAGATTAAGTATCTTGGCGGCAGCTTATTAGAATTCATATAAGTTACAATAATTCAATAAATATAAAAAAACTTAAAGAAATTAAGCATTTTCAATTTACTATTTATCATCCATTCATTACCTTTTTTTATTCATTTTAACAATGAGCATTGATGTGTTTGGACGCAAGCTCAGAGGAGCTGACGAACTAAATTTGAAAACTTCACATGAGATTCTTTTAACAGAGATTGAAAATATTAAAAATTCTATTTTAAAATTGAAAGCTGAATTAAAAGAAACTTATACATTGATTGATCTTCATCGAGAAGAACTTGATATGAAAATCATAGAAGTTTTATCTGACATTCATAAGTTGAATGAGTCATTTACCCTCTCCATGACGCAGTTGCCGTTACAAAAGGAGCGCGATTCATTCGCCGCAGCTCATTTGCCGTCTGCGACAGCATCAGACACATTATGAATTCATTAAGTACCAACATTCGAAGTCGGGCTATAGCCTGCTTGCATGAATATCTTAGTAAACCGTATAATATAGATGATTCTATGATTCAAACAACGATGAATTATGTACAGTCACTCATTGACGAAGGTGCGGACCTGATACATTTTTCTAACATTTTCAACCTATCAACGCATGATCTCATAATAATTGAATATTCTATAGCCTTATTGAAAGGTATCTGGTACATGACAAAGGATAAGAAAACGAACAATTTATCTGAATATTCAATGGGTCTTTGTCATAAATTTACTCAGGAAGATATTCCTAGTTCTAGAACTGATAGGTTAGCTACAAAAGTAGTGATCAATGTTAGTCATTCCATACTAAACGTCTTTATACAATATGTTGCTGAATGTGTTCGCATCACCATTGACAATTATCTCCGAAATGAATTGGTTCTGGATGTACATTTTATATTCACAGTTTTATATCTACATCGTGAATATACCGATTCCAATCCCAAATTCAAAGTTAAACTTTTCAAAGTGAAATATATTCCTGTTTATTCGGCTTACACATATCGAAGATGGTTCTGCATAAAAGTGCTACAACCTCTGAAAACCAAGATTGAAAATTATCAAACACAGAATCCAATTTACACTCTTGGCTGTGTAACTAACGTAATTGTCAGCTATTATAAATAAGACAACGCAAGGATCAGATTATTCATCAGCCAGCATTTGAATAAAATGGACCGTTATCCGTCAGTCAAGTATTCGCGTCTTCCCCAAGAAGACCCAGATGAAAAGAAAAAACAATCTACATGGAAACAAGTCACTTCCAAATTTTCAACCAACACTAGTCAATTTCCAGAACAAAAAGGCTACAAACAGTTCGACAATAAAAAGAAGTAATACAAATAATCAGATTACAAAAATTGTATAAGTATTATAATATAATAAACATGTATACTTTTTTTATCAAATAAATGTTTTTTTAATTTTAAACGTATTCAAAATTTCGATGATTTTTTGTTGATTTTCCAATGATAATAAACCTTATCCCCCACCTCATTCCATGAGATATACCGACTGGGCGCGTCATGCCTGTACGCCACCGTCGATAATATTACACCACCCAAAACACACTTAATCACATATATCTTTTTTTTTCTTTCATCAATCTGACGCATCATCGATCGATCATCGGGGGGGAGGGAGAGGGCTATAGGGCCGGGGGAGGCATGGGGCCTGCATCACACACGTCGATAACTACCGACCGAGCATACACATGCACATGCACATGCACATGCACATGCACATGCACGTGCACGTGCACGTGCACATGCTCGGTCGGCTACAATGCAAACCGTCGATACAAAATCGGCCGATAAAACATTTCAGTGGCCGGTAAGGCAGGATTAATCATGTTACCGACTGCTGGTAAGGAAGGAATGAATACTCACATGGTAAAAGTGGCTTAGAACCCTTATAGCCTATACTACTAGTTACTTTTAAGTTTTGCTTAACCGAATATTGCATAAGACTAAAATGTGCCTAAATTAAATAATGTTACTTGTTATAGTTGAGGCTTTTTTATTTAAGTTTATTGTTACTCTTATAATTTCTACAACGATTCATATTTCACTTGTTCCAAGGGATGTCGGTAGTATTTATATTTCTCTCATTTTATTGCATGTGAATGGCCTCTGTGAAAAACTATCAGTCATCGAACCACGTTTCTCTAATTAAGTCACGTTTCTTCATGCTAATCTTTTTTTCGAGTAAACATTAATTTTGTTTTCCCTTTGAATCTAATTGCATCGATTGTATTGCCTTAGTTAATTCGGTTTTGTTATTTTTATTTTATTCTTAGTAAGGTAAAAGTCTGCCTCTTTAGAGTATTTGATTTTTGATTTTGTTAATTTCTTTATTTTTATTTATTATTATAATAAACCCAAGTTATTATTTAATTATCGTATATATTGGTTACGATCATCTACTCTCCTTATATTTTCTTCTTTAGACAAATATAATTGCATAAGAATAATCTGCCTATCCTATGATAAGGAAGAATGATGCACACCCGGCAGGTTACTAAATAATCAGAGCATTTTGGCCTCCCAGATCCCCGCACAAATAATTTTGTAAATACAGTGGCGGGAAAACTTAATTATAAAATCAACTCTCGGTTTGCACGATAAATATGCTATATATATTTTTTGTGGTCTATTACTTTGTGCTATATTAATATAATATTAGTATACACAATGATTTACATCGTGCATTAATTTATTTTATCTGTTGGTTCAAATTAAGACTGAAATGAGTCTGTTCTAACTCGTACGTACGACTATTGAGTACTAATGATGCAAAATTGAGGAAAAAATATAAGATGGGAAATAAAGATAAAAGAAATGTAAAATACTGATTACATTAAAAAATATTACGAAATCTATTCTCATTGTTTTTCAAAAAAAATTTGCATTCTGCACTCGTCAGTGTATTCCATGATTTATAAACAAAGAGAAAATAACGACACGATGTATGAAATGTATCCATTTCGTCATGTTAGCGGTTTCACTCTTCATACGTAATTTAGTTCAGATTTTAAATAATAGTGATCCGTGTTCCTTCGTTTGGACAGTTGGCGTTCCATTAATTTTTTTAATTCACTAATGACGAAAACACTTGATGTTAACATTACCAAAAATACAAGATCTGTAATTAAATATATATTGCTTAAAAAATTGAAATAAATGCTTTGAAAATTAATTAGTTAAAGTAAATACTACCTTTGAAGAATAATGCTTCAGTTTGAAAAATTCTTTGAAGTGGAGGAAAATAAATAACTAGCATTTGACCCACAACAGATAGTGAAACAGCTGCTAAAAACATTTTATTGCTCCAAAAACCTATTGTGAATATTGATTTTGTCTGAAAATTAGAATAAAATTAGAAATTAAGAAATAAATAGATAATTTACTACATATAGGCAAAACCACAAATTTTTTGACTTTTGAAGAAAAAATAAGTTTTTCTTTTCATAGCACGTAATCAAGATTTGATATGTATCATTTTAATTATTAGAAATAGTGAGTTTATGCTCGTTACCTGTTTTAACCCATTAAGTTCCAAATGGACGATTTTTTCTACTGTTTTCAATTGATTTTCTAAATGTGAAATCGGTCTTCAAAAAAATCAGGAGAGGATATTTCCAACGTAAGATTTTCTGAACTTTCGATCTACGTTGTCAGAATTTTGAAAAAAATAGATATTAACAAATTTATAATTGTTTATTTAACAAAAAATGGGAAATTTTAAGAGATAAAAATTTTTAAATCCTTGTTTTCGAGTTGTAGATCTTTATGACTAGCGCTTAAAAGGGATTCTCGAATCCTGGACTTTAAGTTATAGGGGTAGGTTTTTTAAATTCAACATAGCGGCATCAAATAGGCGGTTCAAAGAAGGCAATTTTTTGCTACTTTTCGTATTTTTTCGAAAAACAATATTTTTTACCAATATTCATCAAATTTCGTTTTTGGGTGGCTGATTACGAATTTACAATTGGGTTTTCAAAATTTAGAACGGCGGATTCAATGTGGCGGCCGAAAATCCAAAAATGTTCTTAGTTTTATAGAAATCGGTACCTGTAGGTCTTTTAAATCACTAATTAATGATTTGTAGTCAAATTTTCAAAACTTTACATAGCTAATATAAAGTTTTCCATCCTTTGCAATTTTTTAACCGATGAAAAAGCATACATGTATTTTGGGCTTATGTCATGTATACACTAACAGTTTTTAAAGTTTTCAATTGTCGGTTAAAACATATAGTCAAAAGCTAGATTCATCAACATTTTTAAGCCTTTGTATACCAAAATTAAAAACTGATTATAAACTGAAAAAATTTTTGGATTTTCGGCCTCCATATTGAATCTGCCATCTTGAATTTTCAATATCTGATAATGAATTCGTACTCAGCAACCTAAAAAATCCCTGTATACCAATTGTCATAAAAACCTGATATTTTCGAAATTTTTGGCTGCCAAATTGGATCCGCCATATTAAATTTTGGAAATCTGATTGTAAATTCGTAATCAGCGACACAAAAATCTTCTGTGCACCAATTTTCATAAAAACCTGATTTTTCGAAATTTTTGGCCGCCATATTGGGTCCGCCATCTTTAATTTTGAAAACTTAATTGTAAATTCGTAATCAACGACCAAAAAAACCCCTATACACGAAGTTTGATGAATATTGGTAAAAAAATATTAGTTTTCGAAAAAGTACAAAAAGTAGCAATAAATTTCTTTCTTTGAACCGTCATATTGGATACCGCCATGTTGAATTTCACAAAACCTACTCCAATAACTTAAAGTCCAGGATTCGAAGACGTTTTTTATATGTTATTCATAAAGATCTAAATTGAGATTCAACTCGAAAACAAGGATTTAAAAATTTTTATCACTCAAAATTTCGCATTTTTTGTTAAATAAAGAATTATCAATGTGTTAATATGCATTTTTTCAAAATTCTGACAACGTAGATCGAAAGGTCAGACAATTTTACGTCAGAAATGTACTCTCCTGATTTTATGAAGACCGATTTCACATTCCGAAAATCAATTGAAAACAATAGAAAAAATCGTCCATTTGGAACTTAATGAGTTAAGGTAAAGCATGAAAATTATGAAAAAAAAATTTTCTTCTTGAACTTTATTGGTACACTATTGAACAAACGTTCATAAGGGCCAAATAATGTTAAACTATTTATATTTTACCATTTTTATGAAAATTTTTCAAAGGACCTAGTCCTAAAATTTAAAAAAACTTAAATCGTCTTTACTATCATGTAAAAATAGTTCTAATGAAGATATTGTTATAAAAATTTTTTACCTTAAGTGTTAGGTATGAGCTTTCATTTTCTTCCTTGTAAGTCCTAATATCTCGATAGATAGGGACTCTAGAATGTCCCTATGAAGGTAAACGATTTTTACATCACAATAAAAAAAACTGAATTTTTTTTTTTTTTAAATTAACTGCTTCCCTTGTGATGATGCGCCATCACGTAAAAAGCCCGACCTACAGGGCTAGCGCAAAATCCTCTTCCGACAAGAGGACGCGGACGCCCGATCAGCTAATACCGTTTAGCTCACATAAGAGCATATGAATAACCCCGAGACCTCTCGCAAAACACCACCTAAATCGATGCACACGACCCTTACACCCACGCACACACACTGTCACACACAGGAAACCGGATCAACATTCCCCCAGGAAGCCAGGTGACGAAAAAGATCGCAGCCGAGATCAGCTGATCCTGCTGGCTAATTCATAAGGAGAGCACCGCACATACGTACTATCACCACTGGTTATCCAATTAGCACACCTGAAGGACCGTCCGAAACACATACACACGCGCACGATTAACTTCATGCGCCCCGGGAAGCGACAGGAACAGCGGCAATGGGACGCGATGCTAACGCGTGAGCTGAGCAGCGGCTTGTTGCGACGCGCTCGTTAGCAAGCTTGAGCTAGACCAAGAGTGGGGAAGGTGGAGAGAGTCGGCTTATGAGTGCAAGTGAGACGACTCATAGGAGAGTGACCGAGCGCGAGAGAGGGGCAACCGAGCGTGAGTGCGAGTAAGATGACCGATAGGAGAGCGATCGGGAGCGAGCGTGGGAATAGCGTAGAGCGTGCGTGTAAGCGAGATAGACGATACCGATACTTACGTAGGGGCGACCGGTAGGGCTAACGAGCGTGTGCGCGTAATCGATAGGTAATAACGATGCGAAACTGACCAACGCGCGCGACTAGACCGACGAATGCGAAATAGGATAGGGGTAGATTGACGAATAGGGTGAAAGCGACGCTATCTAACCGACAAATAAAGAAATTAGGCACCAAAACCTGACTAGTAATAAAATTGCGCAGGCTAAAAGACTAATATAGACAGTGCTGATAATCGACTTGACAACAACTTGGACCAATAAGATAAAAACCTGCGACCGTAAGAGGAGATAATTGAGAAGAAGCGACACGATACTGTGAGAAGCCGCGGCAGTAGCAGCAGAATAGCTTAACGGTGCGGGAGTGTAGAGGGCCGAATAAGAGAGATAACAAAGGGCAGCAGTGAGTGTAGTATCCGTATCAGTGAAAATAATATATATTCGTAGCAATAAGAGAGAGGACAAAGGGCAACAGTGAATGTAGTATCCGTGGCAGTGAAAATAGTAAACGCAGCAATATGAGAGAGGACAAAGGGCAGTAGTAAGTGTTGTATCCGAGCAGTAGAAAAAATAAGTATCCTACTTCTTTTCTCTTCGTTTCGTGCCCATCCAACTGAGATCAACAGAGTGCCGCCTGCCCTTCGTGAGATCGCCGATTTACCCGCGCATTAACGGAAGTGCTGCCAGACCATTTCGTGGCCATTGTTTATTTGAATCTTCCTTCAATTCCCTTCGCTTCCCCATCGATTTCCGACCCGAGCCGCGAAGGTAGATCGCGATCGCGTCGTCGTGCGCCACTCGCGAAATTCGGAGTAGAATCTGGACATTGGTAGACTGCTGTGGGTAGACAGCGTCACCGGAAAATCAACCTCGGGCTGACCGGGAGAGCTGACCGTAATTATTTAATAAATAATTCTTTCCGTTAATAAGCTGTTATCTTTCACTTCACCTTGCCTTGAGACTCCGCATTCCCCTGTAGCTAACGAGATCGGGTTATGCGAAACCAGCTAGCGTGTCGACGCTGAGATGCCATTTTGTATGCAAAGAGATTAAGCCCCTTACCAGTCTTCACCGTTCCCGGATTGCTGATATGGAGCCTTGAGACGCCGCTCCGAAGACCCGCTTCTGAAAAGAGTCCCTGCCCCGACATTTTTGACTAGCCGCCGTCAGAATTTCTCTTCGCACGTAAATTAGATCTTTGCACCTCTTTTATTCATTTATAGATGGCCAACAAAGTCAGTGCGAGAAGAAGGGAATTAGCGACCCGATATTCAGCGACCAGAACCAGCCGACCTGTAGCGCTACCCGCCCTCCTAACGCAAGAACGGTAGCTGCCGTCCAATAATATCAAGCTGCAACGATTGGCTGGCTGACTGCGCCGCTGGTGGCAGTTGAGACCGGAACAAAACCCAAATAATTTTTCCGTCTCTTTCTCCCCGTCACACCCATAATTAAAATATTGAAGTCTATATAGTCGGCAAAGTAGACCTTTTATTAAGTTGCTTTATAATTTTCTCATTTCAGATGAAAAATATGTTCTTTGAAATGAGATTAGTAAGAAATTATATAATTGTACGTTATAATTTTATGTAATATATTTTTATAATATGTTTTCAATCTTATTTCAAAAACTTTTCTATTCAAACATTATAATTCTTGTAACTGTGAAATAGAATATTCTTTTCATGTGTAGATTACAATGTCAGAACAAATGGAAAATTAGATAAATCATGTTCTAGTTACAACATTTATCTAAAAAAATTTTCATACACAAAATCGTTAAATACTAACGAAGAAGTATTTAATTTTAAAGAAACTTTTAATAAAACAGTACAACTAAATATATATTCTATAATTTTCCTCTGTTGTATCATATTATAAACTTCTTCCTTTGGTTTGAGTTCTTGATGAATGAATCCTGGACTAATTGTGGATGCTTCGAAAAATTCAGAATCACAAGGATGAGCTTCAGAAAATGATTTTGATATACGAGTATTTTCGAGTGCTGGTATTCATGTACATTGAGCATTCTGTTTCTTTTGGTTTAAGGATATTCTAATCTTCGAGACATTTTGAACAAACAATTACATTTAGTTGTATTACAAATTAAAATCAATGGTGTGAGGAATAGCCCAAAAATACAACTAAAAAACTTCTAAACTAATTCAACGTTTCGCCAGTTTGTTCATGGCCTCTTCAGGAATAC